GATTGTTTAAGAACAAAACCGAAAACAGGAAACGTTATTTATTTGTCTTACTAACACCCTCTTCCTTTTTTTTTTTTTTTCGACTTTTGCATCGCAGCTTCCCTTTCCTTTCCTTTTTTTTTTTTTTATATAACATTACAATTGTTCATATCAGTAATGCGAGTGATATCTCATCGTCCTCGACAGACATTCCATACATTCATTCAATTTTAATCATTCAAAAATTTTTTTTTTTTTTTCCCCAAGTTTTGATTAGAAAAATAAATAAATAAAAAAAACGAGCCTTGCCTTTCCTGACCTACAATTTTTTCTCTTTCTCTTTTTCCTTTTTTTTTCCTTTTTTCCTTTTTTAAACAAACGACATTCATTCTTTTTTTTTTTTTTTTATTAGATTTTTGTGAATAAATTAAACCGTCCGAGAAAAGAATCGTGAGAAAGATGAAAAAAAAAAAAAAAAAAAAAAAAAGGAAAAGAGTAAAGTCCTCCTTCTTTCGGACGGTCGAAAGATTTTTTTTTTTTTTTTTTATTATTTAATATTATTATCATTATCATTATTATTTTACCTATTTACACGTAAATTATTTATGCGGGGTTAAAATTTAATTTATATGACGTTGGGTAAAAAAAAAAAAAAAAAAAGGCATTTTGAAATGTTACAAAGGAAAGAATGATTGTAACACACACACACACAAGCGCAGTGAGGAGGATATCTACCTGATACCTGAGAGAATGTTGACCCTATAAAAAACCTTGAAACAAAGACGACTTTAACATAAAAAGAAACACACATTGAATTTAGCAAAGGTTCATTAAATTCGCCATTTTAAAAAAAAAAAAAAAAAAAAAATTGAGGCCAAAATGGCCAAAACCGAAAGAAGTTTTTTTTTTTTTTTTTTTTTTTTTTTCCGTCGTTTAACAACCGACGTAACAAATTTATTTATATGGGTCATTATTTCGGTGTTTGTTTCAAGGTTTCATCGGTCAGTTTTAAGGGGAGCACAAGTTAAGATTTTTTTTTTTTTTTTTCTTATATCATCATCATCGCAAACAAACAAACAAAAAGTAATTTTTCATAACTGGACATTTAAGAAGGATTCTCACGCACGCGCACGCGCACACATACTGGACCAAAACGAAATTCTCCGCCATTTTAATATAAAATAAACTACGTCGTAACAATTCATCTCTCTCTCTCTCTCTCTCACACACATTTATTCTTGCTAATTAATTAGGGTGTTAAAAATATTTTGAAGGTATTAAAGTGTAAATTCCAAAGGTTTTTTCGAATCATGCGTACGTAATTAAAAAAAATTTTCGCGAAATCGTCTCGTACATACGCATTTACTCGTACACATCGACGTCCATTGTTATTTTATTTTTTTTTTTTTTTTGCTGGCGGCAAACGACAACAACAACAACAACGCCGCCGAATGATATCATTCATATGAATGAAATACCTTACGACAAAAAAAAAAAAAAGGAAACAAATAATATCATTATTATCAATGAATGATTTGTACTGTCAATATCTTATCTGACCCGCAGTAAAATACAGCTGTTCGATTTCTTTTTTTTTTTTTTTTTTTCTCCTACTAAATCTTATATGATTTATAATTTTCCCCAGTCTATAATTTTCACGTCGTCGTCGTCGTCGTCTGCTAATTTCCCCCCTCCCCCTTAATCCTCTCCCATCAAAACTCAATGAATCACTACATAAAAAAAACATTTTTCGATCGAAACACAATCAATAGTAAATAATTAATAAAACGTATTATCATTTAAACATCGATCGATCGATCAATCAATCGATCGTCGTTTCCCCGATAATAATAATAATAATAATAATAATTTAAAATCGTGTATGTGCGATATAATTTATTGCAAAATGTCATTGTTGTGTACACCGGCGCGATAATAATAATAATAATAATAATAATAATAATTTTGTACGCGTTTTTGATATTTATGCTCTATAAGTTACACCGATCACCATTTTGAAGTTATTAAATAATAAAATTATTAACTATTAAAAGTGAAAATTATCACAAACAAACGACCCAATTAAAAAAAAATCTTTTGAATAAGTTGGAGAAAAAAAAAAAAGGATTTACGGCAAAACAACAAGAGAGAGAGAGAGAGAGAGAGAGAGAGAGAGAGAGAGAGAGAAAGAATTTACGATGTGGGGGCGCAAAGGTAAAAGGAAAAAGAAAAGAAAAGAAAAGAAAAAAAATTGTTTTTTTTTTTTTCTGCTAATTTAAAGACAGACGTCGTCGTCGTCGTCGTCGTCGACGACGACGTCTAACACCAGTTTCGCGGTTAATGAAAAGCGGCAAAAAGAAAACAAGAAATGCCAACGATTTTATTATTATTATTATTAATGCCCCTTTTTTTCTCTCTCTCTTTCTTTCTTTCTTCCTATCGTTAGATTTATGACATCGTACATCATAAGGTCCAACCAGGTAGAATATAAATACCTTAAGGGTAAACGCCCTAAACAAAAAAATTTTTTTTTCAATTATTTATAATAATTTGTGTTGATGTTTTTACCCCACCCCCTCCCCTTACTCCCCATTCCTTAACATAAAAATTTGATATTTTTTTTTTTTTTTTTAATGAAAGAATTTCTAAATACCTTAATCCGCTCCTAAAAAACTTAATAAAATCGTAATAAGAAATTTTTTTTTTTTTTTTTTTTTTTTAATTGTTTCATAACAACAACAAACATCATTCGTTTAAGTTGTTTGTTTGTGACGGGTTTGCCGAGTTGTAACCCTCCCTTTCCCTTCCTCCTCCCCTTCCCCCTCCCTGAAGTAAAAAATCGTAAAATTTTAATTTACGACGATTTTGTGACTTACAAAAAAAAAAAAAAAAAATTTTCCCAAAAAATATTAAAAATGACGACGTCGACGACGACGACGACCCAACCCGATGACTAAAAGTAATAAAAAAAAAATTTTTTTATTTCATTTTACACTACAATTCGTCAATTTTACTTTACAATTACAATTAACTACAATCATCTAAATAAAACTACAACCCGATTACATCCGATTCCATCAATCCCAAATATCAACCTACGAATACGATTTCCCTCTTCCTACCCCCACGTGACAGAAATTTTTCAAAATGGCGACAACAAAAACATTCGACAAATTACTACTAACACAATTTTTTTTTTTTTTTTAAATAAAACAAAAACAATAAAAAATAATAATTATTATTTTTTATTATCTGCTATCACTCACTGGGTTAAGGGATAATAGGAAAATAATAATAATAATAATAATAATAATAATAATAATAATAATAATAATGACAAATAATAAAACCACGGATTTATCAGTGGTAACAGAAAACATTCGACCGGAAAAGGGTAAAAAAAAAAAAAAAAAATTTTTGGTGTCTTTAGCGGTTTCGCGTCGTGTGCGTTACTAAAATAACATTTTATTATTATTATTTTTTCCAAAAAAAAAAAAAACCTTTTTGCTAACGTTTAAAGCCTCAATATACGATAATGATAATGATAATGATAATAATGATAAAGAATAAAAATTCATTGATCGGATTTGTCCTTGTGGAATTCTCCAGTAGTTGACGAAAAAAAAGGTAAATGAATTAAAACGAGTGCCACGACATTTTCAAGGTTAACAATAAATTTTTTTTTTTTTTTCCCTATTGATTTTATTATTTATCATTACGGATTATTTGCCTTTTTTTTATGGGGGGTGGGGGGGAGTGGGGGGGGCGGGAAAGCGGCGGATATTTCACAACGAAACGTTTATAAAAAACCGTTCGGTTAAAAGATGATGGAATTTAATTATGAATGAAAAAAAAAAAAAAAAAACAATTGGTAATTACTATTCTAATCGTTATATGTGAATAAATAAAGATAGATAGCAGACGACGTTTTTGTTTTGAGCCCCTGGATATTTTAATAGTATTAGGCCACTAGGGCGACACATAATTCTATGGTTTATAAAAGAGCCAAAAAATATTTCCGCAACGTGAATTTTAAATAAGGTCCTTTTTTTTTTTTTTTTTTTTTTTTCTCATGGAACGATCGTGATTCTCTCTCTATCTATCTCTCTCACTCTGATAAGTGATAATTGAAAACGAAAGTCGTGTGTTTTTGTCGTGTCATTAATAAAAACGCGTCGTCATAAATGTAAATAAGGGATTTTAAAAAAAAATTTGCTACCGAATGATAATCCCCCTCGTTCAAACATTTTCTTTCTCATTTTTTCATCGATTACATTTAACGCGCAAACGTTGTTAAAGTATTATTATTATTATTATTATTATTAATACGTCTTTCGAACGAGTACCTGTTTCCGAACGGGTGTGTGATAACAACAAAATTTAAACTTACTCATTTTCCAGTTTTGTTCAATAATTTTCCTCCTTAACGATTTTATTTTTCTATTGAACGTTCCACGATTACGATGATGACGTAGGTGCAAATCGATATATCGATCGATCGATCGATCGATTTTTTTTTCTTTTCCATTTTACTGCTCCAAGTACAACTTTTCCTACCTAAACAAACAAACAATAATTGACATACATTCATAACAAACACTGATAATAAAATTTTATATTTTATAGCTAAATAATCATTATCGATTAAGATGATCAGGTGTGTGTGCGTTCGTGTGTGTGTGTGTATGTAATCGATCGATGATGTTTATCGATTTTTTTTTGCTTTAACCGTTCGTTCGTGTTATATCGTTTGATCTTTTTTATCAACGACCCAACCAATAAATCCTATAACAGTAAACGACAGAATTTCTCGCACATACCCCCACACACATATATATATATAAATGTGTTAGAAATGCCTTTTCAAGGTCTATAAAATTTCTCAGACAAGTGTTTTAAATTTCATTCTTTTCCCTCGTCCTCGTCGTCCTCGTTGTCTTCATCGTCGTCGTCGGCGGTATCAAAGTCGTAGAGTAATAAATAATAAATTTTTTTTTTTTTTGAATATTATATTGTTTCAGATGTGGGAATTGTTGGTGTTAACAAATTTAAAATGGGATATATCTTCGGTAACGGCTCAGGATTTTATTAATCACATACTTAGGAAAATACCAGTCGACCAAACCACTTGCAATTGTCAAATGTTAATAAGACACACACAAACGTTCATCGCTTTATGTGCAACAGGTGAGTGAGTGAGTGAAAACGAATTTTTTAATAAAAACGTATCACGTTCACATGTTTGCAAAATTTAAATTTTTTTTCGTTAATTTTTTTTTTTTTTTTTCTTGTTGTTATTTTTGCAAACTACACGAGTAATGAATAAAATTTTTTTTTTTTATGGTTGTTTGAATGAAAGAGATTTTTTTTCCCAAAGTCTGTGAACAATGGTTGGAACATGTGCCAAAATGTGTCAAATATTTAAATTATATACACAATGATTGAAAGAATGTGAAAAAACTTTATAATAATAATAATAATAATTTTTTCCTTTTTCTTTCAGACTTTAAATTTTCCATATATACTCCGAGTATCATTGCATCGGCTAGTATTGCAGCATCCCTTCAGGGTTTGGATTGGACTAATAAAAATAATTGTTCCTTATCAGAACTCCTAAATAGAATCCATAGAATAACCGGAATCGAAAGGGTAAGTTATAATAATCAATTTTTTTTAAATTTATCGATTATCGAAATTTGTTTTCCATCATCCATCGTTCCATTCCCCCTTCCTCCATCTTGAAAAATTATTACCAACTTAGTAATAAAATAATTTATTTGATCAATGTTCTCAATGTAAATTTAATTATGTGAATTTCGGTATGATGTAATAATTAATGAGCCGCATCTGACTCTCATTTTTTTTTTCGTTTGTTTGTTTGTTTGTTTTTATGGTTCGTATTAAAAAAAATTACGGAGACATGTGTTTGACATTGAAAAAATTTTTTCCTTTTTCTTCTTCTTCATCATCACTTTTTTCTTTCTTTCTTTCTCTTTCTTTTTTCTTAATATATATATTATTACGAAAAAATGTCTCCCGCATGGTAGACAGGCCATAGACACGACAACTCGAAGAACCTCCTAACCATTCATTTCCATATGGGCCTAATACGACGATGAAGACGAAGACGACGACGACTTGTCATGGGAAATTTCTGCATTTTAAATCCTTTAAAAATGTCGTAGACCCTTTTTTTTTTTTTTAATGTTCTTTGTCCTCTGTTTGACAACAACCTTGAACAAGGATATTGATGAACATGATCACGGCAACAATTTAATTGAAGTGCATGACACAATGTGAAAATATATATATATATATATATATAAATACAATTACGACAATATGTGTTTTGTTGTGTTTGTATCGGTTGTTTCTTTCAATTCCTTCTTATTCTTTTTTTTTCATCTCATGATGATGATGATGATTATGTTTCACACCGCACATCCCACCCATCACTAACCTCACATCACATTACCCCCCCGATCATTCGTTATTTACCAAAAAAATTAATTTTATTTTTATTTATTATAAAAAAATAGGAGTACCTGCAAAGTTGTATAGACCAAATAGAAGAAACAGTTAGAGAAGCGATGGCACACAGAGGTTCGGGAAACGATCTTCCGGAGAATCCCCAAGTGAACAAAAGTCGTAATTCAAATTCAAATCATTTTTCCTCCGATAAATTAGCCGACTACAGCAAAGCGGAAACGCCTACCGATGTCAGGGACGTTCATTTTTAACTGCGAAAAAAACAAAAAAAAAAAAAAATTTTTATATTAATCCAACGCGAAAAACATTCCTTGACCAAAAATCACGTGACACACAAAATCAACACGATGATGAAAAGAGGAGGAGGATGATCCTGGAAAAAAAAATGGTGAAAAACCTAAAAAGAAGAATTCACAGATTTTTTTTGGGAAAATTTTTTTTCGTTCCGCCTCGCACGATCAGACTTAATGTAATTATTATTATTATTATTATTATTATTATTACTATTAATATTAATATTAATATTAATTTTTTTTAAAATGACTTTTAAACGCGTTATTATTATTATTATTAATTTATAAATTAATTACGTTTTGTCAACTAATATGGGACTAATTACTTTCCATTATTATTATTATTAACCCGAAAATTTTTTTTCGTAAGTGCCATCGTTGCGATATTATTATTATTATTATTACCATTTTAAAAAAAAAAAATTTTTAATTTCCATCATTATTATGTACATAATTTATATATATATATATATATATATATGAGAAGTAATTAGTCACCGTAAGAGTTGTTCCCATTGGATAAGCTGCCCACATTATTATTTTTTTTATTATTATTTTTGTGCAATGTTTATTTAAAAATTTAAAGTAAATATATATATATATATATATATATATATATATATATATATATATATATATATATATATACACATGATACGCCCCGTACGCGCACGCGCACACACTTATATATATATATATATATATATATATATATATATATATGCGTTTGACAAAAAAAAAAAAAAAATTTTTTTTTTGTTTGTTTGTTTGTTCGAAAGGTGGCAGGGGAAAAACTTAATTTACGCTTTTTTTTTTTCCTTAAATATAAATAAAAAATAAATAAATAATTAATTAATAATTAAATAAATGAATTAAATAGAGCCTATTTAACGTTTTACATAAATTAATTTTTTTTTTTTAAATAATAAAAATTTTTATAAATAAATAAAAAATTTACCAATAAAAAATTTAGTTAAAAAAAAAAAAAAAAAAAAAAAAAACAAACAGAAAGTCTTCCGTTTTGTTAATATTATTATTATTACTATTATTACACTCTACTTTTAGTTAGTTATCGTAGTAGATAATAAATTATTATTATTATTATTAGCGTAATGATTATTATTGTGAATAAAAATATGTTATATATATATATATATATATTTGTGTGAGGTAAAATTAAAATTTAATTTTTCTCAAGAGATTCGATTATTATTATTATTATTATTATTATTATTGCATTTAAAACTTTGTTTTTGGAAAATTTTTACCGTAATTTATTAAAAAAAAAAAATGTGACGTATGACATAATAATAATAATAATAATAATAAAAAGAAAATTCGGCTTTAAAAAATTTTTTTTTGTATGTTTAACGCGAGAGTATTAGTATTTATTCGACCGTAATATTTAGACAAAACAATATGTTTCACTCTCTCTCTTTTGTTTTTTATATTATATAACTCTTTCTTTCTCTTTCTCTCTCTCTAAAAAAAAAAAAACTTTCGATTTTTCAAATAAAAAAAAAAAAAAATGATAATTAAGTAGTAGTATTCTCATAAGTGAAACATTTTAAACTAACAAAATCATTTTTTTGTTTGCTTTTGTGTTTGTGTTTGTTTTTGTGTTTGTTTCTCTTTGATTTTTTTGCATAACAACATAATCGATTCATTAACGCCCAAAAAAAAAAAAATTATTTAAAATTTCAAATAAAAAAGAAAAAATTTAAATATGTGTCGCGGACGTTTAAGCAAAAAAAAAAAAAAAAAACCTTCGAAAAGGTGAAAACAAATAAAATTTAAATTTTAAATTTGATCGAGTTTTTTTTAAATATTTAAAAAATTAACATTTGAAAAAAAAAACAAACGACAACGACAAACGTCAACACAAACAAACAACTTAACAAAAAAAAAATCTTTTTTTATTACAGTATTAACAACAACAAACAAATAAATGGGTGCTAACGAATCGATTTATTCATTGATTGATTGATTGATTATACGTTTCTTCCAGTAAAGTTCACTAACAAATTCTTAATACTCTTTTAATAAATTATCATTATCATTATTATTATTTTTATTATTATTAATTTTATATTATTTTGACGCACAGGTAATTTTAAATAAATACCTCAGACAATCATTTAAAATAAATAAGTTATTACTTTTAATTATACGTGTTTGTTACTGGTACTTTACTTACCCTCCACTCTCTCCCCCAAAATATATATATATATATATATATGTAAACGTGTAAAATATTATAATAAACAAAAAAATTTAAATAATAATAATAATAATTTATGTATAAAAAAATAAATAATTTTTTTTTTGTAAAATTCGATTCGAAGACTTTTTCTAGTCTTTGATTTATCGAATCGAATTAAACTTTATTATTATTATTAATTAATTAATTAATTAATGACAATCTGTTACCGTTAATATCATATTATTATTATTATTATTATTATATTCAGTATTAAAAAAATTATTTAAAAAAAAAAAGTTTCAACCATGTCTAGAATGTAAAAAATTAAAAAACGGTTAGAATATTTTAATAATAATAATAATAATCATTGTTATTATTATTATCATTATCATCATCATCATTATTATTATTGTTTTAGTTGTAGTTTTGAATTGTTTTTATAAAAAAAAAAAAAAAAACTTTGGTTGTCACTTTTCATTAGTTTTTTTTTTTTTTGTCGTCCGGTAGTATTTTCAAAAGAGTTACTATGTCAATAAATAATTATTTGTAAAACTATTATTATTATTATTATTGTTATTATTATTATTACTAATTTTTTTTTTTTTAATTATTTGTTGTTACCTCTGTGAAAAAAAATTTTTAAAAAAAAAAAAAATTTATAACTGAAAAAAAACTTAAAAAAAAAAAAAAAAAAAAAAGGAATGACACCCTGTAATTGTTGTTTTTGTTGTTATTATTATTATTATCATCATTATTATTATTATTATTACAGTGATAATAATGATGATTATTTTTTTTATTCACACATGATATTTTGTGCCATAAGTTTTTTTTGTCGATAAGTAATTTGGGTTGTTTGTAGTAAGAGAGAAAACTATCATGTAATTTTTACAAAATTATAAAAAATTATATCATGTGTCAATTTAAAAAACAAACAAACAACAAACAAACAAACAAACAAGTGTCATTCCTTTTTTTTTTTTAAATATAAAAAACAAAAGTCTTTGTAAATATATATATATATATAAATTGTAATGAATTATTATCATTATTGTAAAAAAAAAAAAAAGAAAAAAAAATTAATTAGAAAAAACAAAAAAATTATTATTATTATTATTAATAATGTTTTAATTTAATTAGTTATTTAAATTAAAATCAATCAATCAATCAATTATTTAGGCTCAATTATATAATATTATGAATAATAATAATAATAATGATAAATTGTTTTTTTTGTTGTAGATAATTTTAAACATGAGTTTATATATATATATATATATATATATATATATATAAAACATTTATATGAAATTTTAACTTTTTATAAAAAAGTCTTCCAACCAATCAATCATATATATATATATAATCAGACTTTATAATTATTAATAATAAATAAATGAATAAATAATTTGTAGCTTTAGTTAAAATAGATTATTTCAATTAAATAATTATTTGATATAATATTTTGAATTATATGAAAATTAAATAAATAAATAAATTAATAAATTTGTAAGTTTGTGTAGTACAATAATAAATAAATAAATAAATAAATAAATTCTTATGAAAAATATTTGTTAACTTTAAATTGTGGTATATCAATTAAAGCTGCGATACAATTTATTAAACAATAATAATTACTATTATCATTATTATAATTAAATATATATATATTGAAACAAAAAATGAAATGAATTATTATGTATTATCATTATTATTATTATTATTATTAATTAATTCTTTTGTAAAATTCAATTTATATTGTCAAAGTTACTTGCTTTTTTTTTATATAAGGCTTTTAATTAAATTTTTTTGTTATGATGACTTATATGAACAGTATGGTGGTATAACCTATTATTATTATTATTATTATTATTATTATAACTATTATTACTACCAATACAGTAAAAATTTTTATTAAAAATTTGTAGAAGAACAGGTAGTAGTATTATAAGTCATAGATGTTAAGTAGTTATTGTTTAATATCAATAAAAAATTAAAAATTGATTCAAATTTAATTTGTTTTACATAAATTAGTAATTTATTATAACCTTACATGTATTATTTTTCCAAATTGAGTGAGATGCGATGGTAAAAATATCACAAATGAACATTAAATTGAAAAAACGGTTAACTTCTATTCGACCGCTTTAATGGCGACGACGCCGATGTCGCGCGTTTTTACGTGGAACTAGAATTTGTCGGTTAAATTATTTTTCCCACTTTCGTCAATAGCCAAAATGGAGGAAGTTGACAAAATAATTTTACATTCCCTTCGTCAAATCGGTTGGTACGTATTCCTCATCGTTTTCTTCGATTTAATTTTCAATGAGAACATTGTGAAATTACTTTATTTAATTAAATTATTAATTAATTTCGGCTCGTGTAATTTTACGTTTGAGTTAGTCGAAAATGCTTTGATTGAGCTCACTGGAATAATCACTTGCATCCTTCTCAATAAAGATTTTTGATTATCATCACTTGATTTTTAGTGACATTGACGAAGATGTAACTAGTTTGAAGCAATTTGACACCGAAATGATTGTCAAGTCCGCCGTCTGTTGTTTAGATTTAATACAACCCAATTTGGGGTTACCGCATATTCTCCCTCAAAACATGGCTGCTAAATATAGAATGGGTCAACTCATTGCTCAGGCTTGCATGGACAATGGTTATCCGGGAGACGTGGGCTATCAAACTTTTCTTTACTCTGGAGAATCTGACATAAGAAAAGTATTAATGTTTCTTATCGAAAAACTCCCTAAAGAACAAGAAAAATTTGTACATGAACCCACGGGTAATGATCTAAATTTAAAAAAGGAATACCGCATGAAAACTGTAAAAATTTTTAAATAATAATAATAACAATTAATTAATTTAAAATAATTTAAAAAAATCACTCATTTAAATATTTAACCAATAATAAAAATAAAAAAAATTTCAGGACCTGAATTGATTTTACGTAAAATAAGACAAAAAGTTAAAGAAGAATTAACTCGTCCATGCTTACCAAGAGCTTGTTCCGATTTAGGATCACCTCAAAGTTTTCTTACATATTCAAATATAAAAGAAACTCCAAAAATCGGTGAGTGAATCAAGGCTTCATACGAAAACAAACAAAAAAAAAGAAAAAAAAAAAACTGAAAATATTTATTAATATTATTATCATTATTATTATATATTATTCTTCACATTCATTAAACGACAGCTTGGAAAGAGTTTTGTATGAATGATTTGTCTTCGAATATGATGGATAAAAAATATTTAATTCCTACAATACTTACATTGCATTCGAGAGCAATTTTGGCTAAGAATCGACCACAATTACATCAATCGAAACCTGAAAATAATAAAATTAATAATATCGACAAAACATTGTTGACATCAAATTTTTCAAAGGTAATTTTTTTTTTTTTTTTTTTTTTTGAACTATTACTACCTAAAAATAATAAAAAAAAGCATTAGTAGTGAGAATCATTTAAAATAATAACTTGTCGATGCCTAACAACATTAAAAAAAAAAAAATTTCAGGAAGTCACACGGGGAAATTGGAAACCTCCCATAGCACCAAGACCAAAACTAAAAGAAAAGACTACCAACAATACCACAGAAGATGATCAAACATGGAGTGAATCAAAAAAGGAAGAAGATATTTTAAGTAAAGAAATAGAAGAACTTGTTGCAGATGTTCAACGAGTGTGTACAAGAGTTTTTTCTTTTCAGTTCGATTTGTGTAAAAATCAAAAGTTGTGAATGAGAGAAAAAAAATAAAATTTTTTTTTTCCTTCCAGTTAAAATCGAAAAAAAATCAAATATTACAAGATCTCGAACGTGATCAATTCAATTTGTGTCAAATGAAAGAAAAAAATTTATTGAGAATGAAAATATTAGAATTGTTACCGGATGGGGAAAACAATTTAAATAAATATCAACAAGTTATTGACTCAGCATCACAAAGATTAGTTTCTCTAGCGAATCAATGGGAAAAACATAGGATTCCATTGATTGAAAAATATCGTAAAAGTGTTCAAGTACAATCTGATAAAACCGTGAGTGTGCTGCGGGGCAGCAGCAGCAGCAGCAGCAGCAGCAGCAGCAATGTATTTCCCTTTTTCGATGAATTCTTTATTAATTTTAATTTATATATATTTATTTCATTTAAAGAGCGAAACCGTTAAAAAAGCAGAAACGGCCAAATCGCTAGGAGAAAAACGTAGAGAATTGGAAATTGATTTGAAAAACAAAGACAAACTTTTGTCGCAACTTCACGTGGAAAATGAAAAAGTGGGTAAAGAAGTTAACAGGTCGGCATATACGAGACGAATTTTGGAAATAATAAATAATATAGAAAAACAAAAGACTGAAATCGAGAAGGTGTTGAGAGATACGAGAGAAATACAAAAAGAAATAAACACATTGAGCGGTCAATTGGACAGGAGTTTTACCGTTGCCGACGAAACCATTTTTAGAGTAAGTAAACGAAATAATAATAATAATAAAAAACGATTTAATATTTGTGATTTGTTTTTTTAAAAAAGGATGCAAAAAAAGATGAAACGAGTCGAAAAGCTTACAAGTTGTTGGCAACGTTACATTCCGATTGCGATCAACTCGTCGCCATGGTTCAAGACACGGGTGCCATACTAAGAGAAATCCGTGATTTGGAAGATCAGGTAAATTATTTCGAAAAAGAATCATTTAAAAAAAAAAAATGTATTTTATTAACGATTCATTTTCGTACGCAGATCGAAAAGGAAAAGAGTAAAAACATAGCGGCTAATTTGGAACGAATAATGGCGGATTTGAATCAAATGAAAAACGAAAGCGCTCAACTCACTGCTCAACTCAAATTAAAACAACAACAAAATTCTTGACTTGTATCCCCCCCCTCATCATCATCAACATCATCATCATCATCGTCGTTATTGAGAAAAAATGGGGAAAAATAAAAGCGTAATTTAAGGTACGCAATCAAAACAAAAAATAAGCCAAACAACGAAAACTATCCACCTTGTGATTCCTTTATAAAAAAAATAATAAGCATTCATATAAGTATTTGTACATATATGCAATTCTGACTATTCTGCTTTATATTATATATTCTTTTTAATAATAAATAAATGATTAGTTAATAAAAAACTAAATAATAATAATAATAATAAATAAAGTAATCCTGTGATAAGACTTTGTCGCATTATTTGTCGAAAAAGAAAAGCTAAAAAACGAATCACTTTTAAATGTAAAATTGAGAAGTTTTACTTATTAAATCTGCGTCAACGTTCCGGTGCCTACTATTATGATGATAATAATAAAAATTTCAAGATAAACAAGAGTTTGTATCGAAAAAGTAACCAAAAATACCAAAAATAAACATGTTATGAATTGTAGATTGTAGATAAAACTGCTTTAAATAAAATTAAAATAAACTCACCATTTATAAAAGAAACTGATTTCTTCATTCATTCATTAAAAGTTTTTTTAACATCAGGTGGGATGTATGTATCTTCTTGAACATCTTTATATTTGCGTTTACCCTTGTAATAAACAACATTACTCATTTTCTTTTTCTGTTCTTCTATTTCTAATTGTAACTCATCTTCTTTATCGAAATAAAATAATTTCTGCTCTTCACTTTTGAGTTCTTCTTTAACTTTGGCAATTTCCATTTTAAGATTTTCAATTTCGCTTCTTTCCAATTCTTTATTTATGTGTTCATTCCTATCGTTTTCCCATCGACTGTATATCTAATGAATTTAAAAATTTGATTAAAAAATGGAATAAGTTTCCATGCATTTATTGTTAATTAATAAAAACTTAAAATAATGATAAAATTTTGAGTTAATTACCTTACATTGATTATCTATATCATTTCTTTCATTATTTTCAATCGAATGTTTTAATAAATTTTCAGATTCTGTTAATAGATCTGTTTTTAATAAGTTTTTTGAGTTGATCTTTGTAAGAAGTTGTAAAATTTCATTTTTTATCGAATCAGATGACTGCACATCTGCATTTTGTGCATCAGTTGTCGAATTATCATTTTGATTTTCTTCATCTGTCGATTGAACATCTTGTTTCGGTTTATTCGTTAAAAAATCTTTAGCCATTGAAACAGCTTGAGAATGTAATTTTAAATCTTTTTCAATGATAGTATTTAAAAGTGAAATAGTTTCATTGAATTTTTCATATAAAATTAAACCGACAAGTTGACTTGAAATGCCAAGAGGTCCATTGATATTTTTACCAAATAACCACATTGTTTTACCGACTAAATGATTTGGTTCTGTGATATCGAAATGATCATCAAAATAAGGATTCCTTATGTAAGGTACTCTGACTTTAACAACATCTTCATCTGGATCAGGTTCAGGTGGTGGTGGTACAGACCACACCATAGACGATAATAAATATTTATAACAAGAAAATATTGCCAAAGATTTCGTTATGGGATGTCCATATTCTTCCTGAAGCATTTGAAGAACAGCAATTTTAACAGCAGAAACGTAATCTTCGTTTTTTAAAAACTTATCCATCAACATGTTAATTAAATAAAAATCAGGAAAAACTCCATATTCGAGTCTGTTACTCAATAAATTAAAAATATCTTCTTTCGGACCGTGATCAATGTAATAACGAAGAATTGCATGCGTTGATCTTTCCGGTAAAAGCACACATTCCGGACACTCTCGTAATTTCTTCAAAGTGTCTTCAACTTCGAATTTCTCGTTATAATCTTTAAAAGAATTAGCTAATATATCAACATCTAACACGCTTATCCTTTTATTCGTATCGAAATCTAATTTTAATTGATTATATATATTATCGACATTTGATTTTTTAAAAATTGGATGTTTCAAACGATTTTCCCACTCATCGATACATTTATATGATTCCGATAAAAAAGATCGTTTAAATAAACGAACGAAAAAATTATTATTTTTACTTAAATTATAACTTTTATTACATAAATTTTTAATCATTTTTAAATACGTTAACTTTCTAACATATAAATTAATACCCTTAACAGTTAAAATAACTCTTGGAACAAAAAAAAAAAAAATCTAGAAGGCTGTGATTCGATTAATCGAACTCGTACGATTTCAAACCGTCGTTTTAATGATGCCGCCATTTTAAATGTTGTCATAAATTATTATTCTTGTTAATATTTTTATAATTATACGTAGAATCTCCTTTTTTTAAACGAAAAATTTTCATTTCGAATATGTTTTTAAATATTAACGATAATCGAAAAACGATTTAATTACAACAAATCATTAAAAAAAACCGAATTCTCGTACCCCATATTATTTATATAATAATAATAATAATGAATAAAATCGTAACGAAAAAATTAAATTGTTTTCTTCATAAAAATTCATTGTTAGTATAATTAATTTAATTAAATTTATTTTGTTCGTGTAAAAAAAATTATAAATTTTCAGATTACGTCGTACGGATGTGATATTGTTGAGATATTTGAGTAACGATAGAGATAAAGATAAAAAAAAAGATGAAGATGATGTTAAAGATAAATTAGAACGTACTCCTGGAATATTTCACGACAAACAACAAAGTGTTCAAGAAGAATCTTTTTTTCACAAAGAAGTTAATAATATTTATTTATTTAAAACTATCCACCATTATTATTTTGTTTATTATTATTTTACTTTCTTTTTAGACCAAAGAACAATTAAAACAATTAAAAAAAAAAGGAATGAAAAATGAAAAAAAAGATGAGTCGTCGTCGTCGACGACAACAACAAACAATCCAACGAAAAAATAAAAATTTACTACCAATATACAAACTTAAATAATAAATTTCTTACCAAAACAAACAAACAAACAAAACCATTCCTCTTTCATAAAAATTAATAACAAAAATAAAAAATTTAAAAAAAAAAAATTTTTTTTTCTTATATATATATATTCAAAAAATATTATTTGGCACTAACATAATTATACAAATTTATTTTTTATTTTTATTTTTTTTTCATATAAATAATAATAATAATAATAATAATAATAGTACATTGTAGTATAGTCTTAGGGAATGATACGTGAATTATTATTTCGACGTCAGCAAACAAACAAACAAAATTCACGTCATTTTTAAATCGAAATCAATCAATTTCTCTCTCTCTCTCTCTATCTATCTCTATCTCTCTCTTTCTTCCCTGTCCAGAAAAAAAAAAAAAGAAAAAATTTGTTCTTCGATTAAAATTCGTTTTTCTTTTAAATTTACGACTAAAAAAGAAAAAAAAAAAAATTATAACGGCTAAATCTATTCGAAACTAAAAAAAAAAAAAAAAAAAAACAGTCGTCTCCGTGCAAAACCCATTTTTTCTTTTGACACTTCAAAATATATAAAATTCAAACGGGGCGGGGTTGAGGAGGCGAGGGGAGGGGAGGGGTGACGTTTTTCCAGTGACGGCCATCGTCAATTTTTTTTTCTTTTTTTCTTCTTACGACGCGGTCAGTCTCGGCTCCTCGACACCACAACGAATACGTATAAATAAATAAATTTTTTTAATTTTTTTTTGACGTGGCCGTAGAATTTCATCGTTTCGGACAATTCCGGTGACGACATTGTAATTTCCACGATGCTCCTGGATTTTCCCGTAATACGCTCGCGACTATCGTGCTGTGTTCCAATTCTCTCTTGACTGAAATTCCAAAAAAAAAAAAAATTTTTTTCTTACCTTTTTACGAACAGCAAGAACCCCGACGGTGAGAAAAGAAAAGGAAAAATGAGCTCACCTATGTTTCCGCCGACTTCGCAAAGGAAATGAGTTTGTAGAGCCATTTCCGGCGCGGCGGATGATAAGAAACAACTCAGAGCGAGGCCTCTGGGTGCCAATTCCGACAGCGGTCTAGATCTTTCTCTCGGCGGCGTTTTCTTCTTGTCCGCCAACATCATACCCTCGTGCATTATCCTAAAATCATTTCGGATTAACAAACGAAACAACAGCAGAAGAAAAAAAAGAGAGAGAGAGAGAGAGAGAGGGAGGGAAAACTTACTTGAAAATAACGTCGCGAGCCGTCGTCGTTTCCGTTATGCAAATCGGAAAATGTTTCATTCCGAACTGACTCGCTTCGACGATTATGACTCCATCTTGAACGTCTCGAACTCTACTCACGATTTTATGCCTCGCTTTACCGAAAAGAAGCTTCTGAAACGAATCGAAAAAAAAAAAAAATCGTCTCGAAGAAAATTCGATACATCGATCCATCGATCGATCGATCGATCATTCTTCTTTCTTACCGGTTTATTGTTTTCCTTTCTCTCTTGTCTCGTTTGATTCAAACTTCGCAATTGCGACACGAGGTACTTTGGTACGACCCACAAAGACTCTCCGTACGAGAGAAGAATTTCAGTCAATTCAATGCAAATCTCTGCGGATTTCACTTGCGACGCCATGTCGTCCTTTGACAGTCTCACAAACCTTTCATAACAAAAAAAGTAAACAAACGATAAATTGTAAAACGGGAAAAGACACTTTTCTCGCTTGCACCCTTAGTGAATGACACACACCTCGGAGGGAAAAGCGACGGTGCCAATATGGTGGCTATCCCGTGTATTCCCATTTTGTTGTATTCTTCCAAACGTGAAACTTTGATCAGAAATTGAAAGAGGTACCGGAGAGTGGATTGATTTTCTTTCGGAAGGAGAAGAATCAAAAGGTTGAGCGCCGTTTTCCTCTTGTTTTCGTCGAGTTCTGTTAAAAATCGACAAAAAAAATCAGCATCCTTCGAAAGAAAGAGAGAGAAAGAGAGAGAGAGAGAGAGAGAGGAGATAACGTACCGTGAACGTCGTAAAACGTGGATAAAAATTTAAACGTTAAAAGGGGTTCCGGAAGGTCTCTCAAAAGTTTTTTAAGAGCTGATGCCACGTCGTGTGACGTCACCTGATAAAGTATCTCGTCGACTTTTATCATGTCCGAATAAAAATGATTTTCTATTGCGTTTGTGAGAATTTCCGTTCTTCCCTTGAGCCCAGCCACCCGTAACAATCCTTCATCTTTGAGCGAATGCTGTTCGAGATGATTTATGAGCTAAAAAACAATCATCATCATCATCATCATCATCATCATCACCTAAACTTTCGCGCACATTATTTCAATAAAATCCATCAAATCCTAACCTTTTGAAATATGTACGGTACGTTTTTGAGAAGAGAGCCCTGAGTCGATAATATCCTTTCGTCCTTTTCCAGAAGAACATTTAATGGTAATCCGAACACGGCACCATCTTCGATCAGGAAGGTAAGAGAAAGACGAGAAGAAAAAAAAAAAAAAAAAAAAAAAAAAAAAAAAATTTGATTTCATTTCCATCTAACATCGGATAAAATCGTTTTTTCCGCGCCAAAAATAAAATTTAAACTTACCCGATTTCCGATTACTTTTATACGGTTTCCGCTTTTGCAATGGTTTGTTGCTCGAATCGAATAGTGACGTCACTTCTGCCAAAAATCTTGGCCTCAAAAGTAAAACGTCGGCTTCGTCCAAGCTATCGATCCACGTTCTGTCTTCGCTTTCGTTGTAATTATTATTATTATTATTATTATTATTATAAATGCTGAAAAGGAAAATGTACAAGAAATCAAGGTATAAATTTTGCCTTTCGCGTGTTAGAACGCACGTATACAGGCACGCACGCAAACACGTACGCACCCACACGGGATACACGGGATAACGTGGGGTACTAACCAACCAGGTACTTGCAAGAATTACAAACGAGCCTTAAACTCTTCATTAATTACCAATTAGTCACAGTTAAATAATGTTTATTTACAAAGACCGTTATTATTGTGAGCACTACTAATACGAATCCTCGATCAAGGTTGAACAATCATTGACAACAACAACAACAACAACGACAAACCACAAACAACCGCGACCAAAAAAATTAATTCTTTTTTTTGACTCACCTGTATTTTTCTTCTACGTCTAAAAGGTTTCCGTGACTCCTGCTCAACCTTCTACCGTTGGACGGAGAAAGATTTCGAAGTCTCGACGGATCCAATTTTTCCGATTCTTCCACGGTCACGTCGAGGTAAAGAGGATCGCTCCCGCTTCTGTTTCTCGGTAGAGTTCCTAGGTACTGGTAACTGATGAGTCGTAATCCGTCTGAAACTGAAGAAAACGTGTCAGGAGGAGAGTCACAAAACACACACACACACACACACTTTTGCTTTCTGCTGCCACTTTTTTTTTCTCTTACACACTCACCAGAGTCTGCAATGTCGGGAACGTAATTTCTAAATATTTCACGATTCGTATAATTATGATTTTGAACGTTTTGATTTTTTTTTACATGATTTATCGGGGGAGCGCTGGGTGCTCGAGATAGAGGTTTCTTCAGTTTCCATGGTACCCCGGAAATGTTGCTGCCAGGTCTGTAACCAAATCAAAAAAAACTCACGTCAGCCAGCAATTATCTGTCACGTTTTTTTTTTTTTTTTTTTATACTTTACAAGTCACTACTCACAAGTGTATCGTCGTCGTGAATGAATCAACGTCGTTCAATCTTATTTCGACGGAATCTAAAGAATCCGGAGTGACACTTCTCGATTGTGATCCCGAACTGTGATTCTGAAAATTTTAATAATAATAATAATTTTCACTTTTCCGTCACCCACAGCCTTTTGACAACAAACTCTCTCTCTCTCACTCACTTCATAATCTTTGAAAACGTCTCTCACGTCTGCTTTCCGATGTTTGGCTTTCGACCGTCTCTGACGTATTGTGTTGTTGAGCGTTTTCACTCGTCTTTTGATAGCCTCCGCTTGGAGTTTGGAGAAATCGAGTAGAGCCCCTTCCAATTCGGATTCTGAAACTTCTAGCCCGTGCAGAAAGGGTTCCGTCAAGTGTGACAGACCCGCGTCTTTGAGCCATTCCGTTTCGAGTTCTCCTTCTGTACAAAAAAAAATTACGTAAAAAATTATAATTGGATAGGGTTCGCAATTTGACCGTAACCAACCCAGTTTCCCTTTTGTTTTGCTTTGTTTTCCTTTTTTCTTATCACTTGCTCAAAACGCTATTGCGTGATAATGATAATAACCGCTACGGATGGCAAACGAAAAAAACCCCTTTATTTATTTATTTATTTAATTAATTTATTTTATTTTCACGATTTCCTTTTAATTAATTAATTAATTAATAATTTATAATAAAGTTTCGCGAGTGTGTAAATTTTAAACTTTTTTTTTTTCGGATACGCTCTTACGTAATCATTGCAACTTTCTTATAAAAATAAATAAATAAATAAATAAATAATGAAATGTGTTGCTTGCGTGCTGGGTTATTACAAATCCGCGAACGATTTGACACGCAACGTGGTTTTCACCCTCTCGCATACCTTTCCAACCACCACCATCACCACCACAATTTTGGCTTACCCTCGCAACTTCTTGAACTCAAATCTTCTTCGCCTATCTCTTCCGATCCCGAATGATGTTTAACTTCGTTCCAATAATCTTGAATGTCTTGATTTACGTCCGTTTCCATCGTCGAAAAACGATTTAAATCCAACACAATTTCTTCTTCTCTTTCGAATTTCTTTTGTTTAGAGAGTCAAACGACGAATGACTAAAAATAATTTGTGAAATACGTGACCGTCATCATCGTCATCATCATCATCATCATCATCATGATCTGAAAATAAAAAATTTTTTTTTAATTAAAACAAATCGCGGAATTTTTTTTTGAGATGAACGCCGATCCCTCCACATCTCGTTTTTCTCCTTTCATTTTAATTTTTTTTTTTTTTTTTTTGTAAAAAAAAAAAAAAAGAAAACAATCTTCGAAGGGAAACGTTAACAATCGATGAAAACGAAACGAAACTGTTACTTTTTACTTTTTAAAGGGGAAGGGGGAGAGGCGAGCGGGCAGAGGGCGGAGGAAGGGAACCGACTTTTCGGCAATTTTTTAATGATTTCTTGCTTTACAACTGGAACACACGTCATTTAATCGCGGAGAATAAAAAACGAAAAAAATTCATACTACAACTACAACTACTACTACTACTACACCTGCTACTACTGCTACTACTACTACTACTGCTGCTACTACTACTACTACTACTACACCTGCTACTACTGCTACTATTAAACGCGTTAACCGAATAGAGAAAGTAACCGTTTGAACGTTTCGGAATAATGAATGATTAAATTCTTGAATTTTTTTTTTCTTTCGTGTGTTCGCAATCGAACGCAAACAAAAGAGTACATGAATGCCCGTGAAAAATATTCCGAAACAACAAAAAAAAACAAGTAAACGATGTGTTTCGATTATAAATAATAATAATAATAATAATAATAATAATAATAATAATAATAATAATAATAATAATTAAAAATAAACGAGCGAACGTTTACCAATAAAAAATTGTAAACCAAAACAAAAATAAGGTCATCGAAGAAGTGAGCGTAAGACGATGATGAGAATCGCAGGCGGATTTTTTTTTTTTTAACCGTTCAAGTTTATACGACGAATTCGTTTATTATTATTATTATTATTATTATTATTATTATTAAAGAAACGATTCAACAACAATAGAAAGCGATAGGCTGGAAAAGCGTTTGCACGACGGTTCTGGAAAAAAATGACGAAAAACGTGACACAATGGCGTAAACGTGTAATTAATGCGTTTTTTTTTTTTTTTTTTTTGCTTTCGAAGAATATTAATTAGCGCAAATTTGCAAAACTACCTCCTCCCCACTCCCCCTCCCCCGATTTTCTTTTTCTTAGCAAAAGATTTTCTCGTAGTTTTAATTTCATTAATACCGAAACAATCAAAAATGTGTCGACAGAATCAAAAAAAAAAAACTTAAAGGAAAACAATTATCGTTTGTCGTTTGTATCTTTTTCACGCGGAAAAAAAACAACAACAACAACGATTTGTATTAATAAGACTTATTTGAAAATTTTACATTACACAATATTTCGAGTAAAACAACAACAACAACAACAAACGATAACAATCAAAAATTATTTAACGGTACAATTTAAACTTGATAACGTTGTTCCTATTTTTTTTGCGACAATTTTTACCGATAATGAAATTTTCCAATATCCGCACGCAAATTTAACAAAAAATTAAATCAACAAACAACAAACAACAACAACAACAAAAATAATAATAAAATATATAAAAATACCGTATCATTTTCGAAAGGAACAAAATTTAAAAATTAATTCGCGCGAAATAAAAAAACAAAACAAATTCTCCGATTCGATTTGAACTTCCTAGTACCACGAACGAAAAAAAAAAAAAAAAAATGTTCGAGTTACCGAAAAAAAAAAAAAAATGTAAATAAAATTATCGATAAGAGTCAAACAATCAGATAACCCAAACAAACAAACATAACAAACAAATTGTCCTTTTTGCTTTTCTCGTACGTAAAAAAAAGTAACACAAAAAGTTTTTTTTTTTTTTTTTTTTTTTTTTACTTAATTTTCATTCAATCTCGAAATCGGACATTTTTTTTTTTTTTTTTTTTTTTTTTGAAATTTAAAAAAACCCCGAGACGATTTAACAAACTGAAATAACGTTCACGACAAAAAAAAAAAAAAAAACTAAGTGAATCATTCTCGAACGATCCCTTATCAACGCACGCACGACACGCACGCACGCAAATACATACGCAGTAAACACGCACACGCGCTCGATATAGTGATAAGAATAAAACGTCGCGAAAACTCGTGACGATTAAATTAATTGGAGCAAAGTAACGTGTCGTTTTTCGAAAACGTTTGGAAAATTAGTGGCGGGGCAGCAGGGGGGGGAGGAGGAAAAAAAAAATAAATAATAATAATAATAACTTGCAGACTATTGCGCAGAAGGTGACTGACTAACTCGAATGCAAATGTTTACATTTTTTTTTTTTTTTTTTTTTTATTCTTTCGAGGCGACTTAAACAAATCAAACGTAAAAAAAAAAAAAAAAAAATTATTTCAAGGAAATAAATTATTAAACGGTAGATAGACGACGTGTAATTAGATTGCGGTTCTTTTTTTTTTTTTTTTTTTTAAATAATAAATTTCGTCGACAAATCGTCGAACAACAAACGACGTACGAGTTTGTTACGTAACGATTCGATCGATACAAACAAACAAACGAACATCCTTCGAAAATAAAACGAAAAAGTGCAACCGGAAGCAAAAAAAAAAAAAAAACGTATCGAATATCGTAGAAAAATTTTTTTTTACGTCGTAAGCACTTTAAAAAAAATTTTTAATAACCTTTTCGGCACCACCGTCGCCGCCATTTTGAAAACATAAATCGATTCGCGGGAAAAGTGTTTAAACACTCTATGACGATTAATTAATTACTGCTGCCCCTTTTGTAATGACTACGAAGGTAAATTAATCGAAGGTAAATCGTCACTCTCTCTCTCTCTCTCTCTCTCTCTTTTACTCTCAATATTTTTTTTTTTTATTCTCATTGAAAAAACATTCAACAACGTGTGTGTGTGTGTGTGTGAGAGAGAGAGAGAGAGAGAGAGAGAAAATAATTTTAAAATAAAAACAATAAATAAAATTTAAAAAAACAAAACAAAACATTATGAATTTGTTAGAGACCTTCGATGGACGACGACTTTTAAATAATGACTTTCAATTCTCTCTGTCGAAATTTTATTTTGGGGACCCTCTACGATGGTCAAATCCCTGATGACAAACAACGACTAATTTCGACAAACAAAAATAATTAACAAACTAATTCTAACAAACAAGAGAATTAAAAATACATCTCGAGATGGACATGATGCATACGTACACGTGTGTTGTTGGCGGAGGCTGTGGCGATGGCAATGGCGACGATGACAACAACAAACAATGACGATGAGAAAAAACAATGAAAATTCTTTTTTTTTTAAAAAAAAAAAAAAAAAAAAAAGAAAATGTTTAGAAAAATTTTCTTTTTTTCGATTTCTACGACAAATTACGTTAAATATAATTTTACACGCATGACAATAATCGAAATTATTGAAATTGGAATTAATAAACAAGAGCGCGCGACCTTCGTCGCAAAATGAAATTTTGTAATGTAAACAATAACAAACAATAACAACAACAACGACGACGACGACATCAACACTCAACATCGGCCCTCGTCTCAAATACTTAAATTGCTTAATAACTAACAAAAAAAAAAATTTAATTTAATAGTTATAAACTAATAATGATAATATTAATAACGATAATGACAATAATCCTAACAACAACAACAAAAAAACAACGATTGAAACAACAACAACCAAAACAACAACAACGATGACAAAAAAATTGATTTAAAACGTTCAGAGAACAAAGAAATGTTCAAAGTTGATTTTTTTTTCTTTTTTTTTTGTTTAAATATAATTAATTAAACAAAACAAATAAAAAATCATAAATGTTTAAATATTAATAAAACAAAACTAGCATATGTATGAAACAAACTAGATAAGGAGAGAAAGAGAGAAAGAGAGAGAGAGGGACAACAACAACAAACAAAAATTATTGTTTACCCAACACAACACAACAACAGAACATTCACAGCAAAACCAAAAAAAAAATTTTTTTAAGGGGGCAAATTATTTGACCGTTTGTACGACCGCAAAACCAACCAAACAACCAACGTCGAGTAGGGAAAAGGGGGAGGGGAAAACAAAACAAAAAAGTAATAATGATAATAATGATTACGAATTAATGCTTTCTTTTTGGTCATCAATAACGGATTTAGTTCTGTGCCAAAAATACCCAATAAAATCCTGTCGCGTTTTCCGTCGACAATCGACCCCCCGTTCGACAATCAACAATCGAAAACGAACAAACGAGATGGTATAGTTTTGAGAATAGAAAATATTTTCTTCCTTTCGCTTTTCTCGGAAAACTTTTTACTCAACATTTGAGTAACGAAAAATTTTTGTCGCCCACGGGGAAACGTTTGCCCCCGCGAAATTTCTTTCTTTAAGCTAATATTTTATTCTCAGAATCGTAAGTTCGATTTAAAAAAAAAGAAGTGTCGCAATCGACACTTTTGCCACGTTTTTTTTTTTTTTTTAAAACAAAACAATTAACGAATTCCACGACGACGACGACGACGACAAAAACAACAACAACAACAACCAAAATTCTCATTAAGGATCAAAATTCGGGACTAACGGATCCAAAAAAGAAGGAAACGTGACGGTGAGTGGAAGTTTTAGAAAACAACCGACAAACAAAATTTTTTTTTAAAGAACAACCTCTTCAACAGGCAAAATAAAATTCTCATCCTCCTCCCGTAACTTTTTTTCGAGAACTCGAACGCGAACCCGAAACGTTCCAGACGTTATTTTTCTTCCTTATTTGATATACGCTATGACTTCGACCTCATTTACCATCTCCTCAGTTTCGAGACGCTAAACAAAAAACAAGAAAAGGGGAACAAAAAAACACATAAAAAATTTAATAAAAAAAAATTGATAACGGAGCGATAACGTAATAACTGATAACAAACGGTGACACAAACAAACAAACAAACA